CATGAGAAGTTCACTATCTACATTAATGGTGTTATTAAGCTTTCATGAAGTTTTGGTAGAGATTGAGCTCCAAAGGCTTCCTCCCTTGATTTTCATTCATTTTTCTTATGGTTTAGTTGTTGTTTAACAACTATTATTCTTATTTTTCATGTTGGAATCATTGGTTGACATTTGGGTGGTGAAAAAGTTGTCCAAGAACCCTTAAATGAACAAAGTCAATGAAAGGTTGTTCTTGGGTAAGCTAAAGATGTTTTTGGGTTGTTAGGAGATGAAGTAACACACTATTACTCTTCCTTACTACTTGTAGTGCATAACATTTAGCATAGCTTGCTTATATAGGAATGGTGAAGCATGTGGGGGTTGGGTGTTTGATTTGATGTTATAGATGTTTTTTATGTTATATGGGTGTAAAAATGATGTATAATTACCCTAAAACAAGTTTTTGGTATGAGTTTGAGGGTGTTTACTGAGCAAAACAATGTGCTTCTGGGTAATGGTATCGATAGTGTATGAAATGTTGTCAATATTGTTCATATTCTAGGTGAAAATTGGGTTTTCTAAGTGTTAATATCGATACTGGATGAACAGGTATCAGTATCAATACTGAGGATTATAGTATCGATATCAGTGGGCTGGTATCCATAACGAATAAATTAGTATCCATACCAGGTGAGTTGGTATCTATATTGGATGAATTAGTATCCATATCGTAGATTGGGTATCCATATCGTAGATTGGGTATCCATATCGAACGCTTAGTATCAATACCCAGAGTGGTTGGGCAACTTCAAGATGTCAAATAAATTCAAGAGTGAAGAATTTAATATCGATCAAGATAGGACATCTAGCTCAACTGTGGGAGACAACTAAAATGCCCTTAGAGGATTAAAATTACAAATTTGCCCTTAGTTATAAATAGTGCCCTATAAGGATCCAAAATTATCTCTAAAAGCGTAAGACTAGACTAGGGATGGGCATGAGACCCGGATCCAATGGGTTCTGACCCGACCTGATATGGCAAGTTTTTTTCTTTTAAAATTCAATTTTGGGTCGGGTCGGGTCGATTTTATGAGTGGTCATCGGGTTCGGGTTAAACACTAAAAAATCCAACCTGTCCCAACCTGATATATATTTTTAATGTATTTACAAAAGGCATAATGTATCAAAATAACCCTAATGTTTGACAGTGTTATGAAACTTATTCGTATTGTTTTTTTACACATTTAACCACTCAATGTTTCATTTTAGGTCAAAAACCCCCTCGGTGAATGAAAATTGTTAGTCAACTGATAGTCAACGCTTGATTCTGACCAAGCACGTACACATGAACGAAGATACTGACATGACTTGTTCAGCTTATGGTACATGATGACATGGCAAATCCACGTAGACTAAATGATGACGTTTTGTTTTTTATTTAAAATATGAATTTAATTAGAGAGTATGTAATTTAAATTTAATAAAAATAAATTTAAAATAAAAGTTTATAAAGTGCATGTGTTGTGGTTTTGATGGCTATAATATACTTTAAATATTGTTATTAGCATTGTAATAACATCTAAGTGAGTTGCTCTGGTGGTTAGATATAGAGTCTTTCATCCATCTAACCTGAGTTCAAATCCCCTTAGGTGCATCTTTTGGAGGTTTAATCCCTCCTTCCTAATTTAATTAAATAAATCTCATGCCACGTGGTAATATCTAATTGGTTGTTAATAATTTAGTAAAAAATAATTATTAATTGATTTAAAAAATATTTACTAACGTGGCATCATTTAGTCCACGTGGATTTGCCATGTCATCATGTACCATGAGCTGGACAAGTCACGTCAGCATCTTCGTCCATGTGTACATGCTTGATCAGCATTAGGCGTTGACCGTCAGTTGAGTAACGGTTTTCATCCCCCGGCGTTTTTTACCCAAAATTAAACGTTGAATGGTCAAATGTGTCAAAAACAATATGGGTAAGTTCGACAATATTGTCAAACGTAAGGGTTAATTTGTTTATTTAGGTATAGTTTTAGAAAAATTAAAAGTTTATATACTAAAACGGATCAAAATTAATAGTTTAAATACTAAACGTGTAATTTACCCTAATAATAAATGATTGATGAAAAATAGTGACTAAAAATTTATTAAAAAATGTTATAAATATAGCACAAGTCTTCGGATTTGGACAATAAAGTTAAAGACAGGGAATTGCATCATCATTTTGTAATCCCCAATTCATCAATTAATGATTTTGATTTCCACAAGCTGTTTGTTTCTCTGCAGACATTAATTTGTTGTAGTTTGCAATTATATATGTAATGGATTAAGCTTTTGACTTGACATTTTTTTTCAAGTTTTTCGTTATCCAAACACACGCATAGCCCGTAGGATATTTCTCCTTACGTCATGCTTTTGTGCTAATTATGTCATTACATTTTTAACCAGGTAAATTATATGTTTAGTACTTAAACTATTAATTTTGGTCTGTTGTATTACCTAAACTTTCAATTTTTCAAATCATGCCTAAAGTTTAGTTTTTGTTTCATTTTAGTATCTCGTCGTTAAAATCTTTAGTTTTTGTTTCATTTTAGTAATCCGTTCAAAATTTAATGTTAAGTTTTGATGAAATTGAAAGTTTAGATACTAAAACGGATCAAAACTGATAATTTAGGTACTAAACGCATTATGTTTTTAACAGTGGGGTACAAAAATGAAATGAAAACTAAACATTAGGTATAATTTAAAAAAAATGGAAGTTTATGTACTAAAACAATCCAAAACTGATAATTTATGTATTAAATGTGTAGTTTACCCTTTTTAACCTAATATCTCATATTCAAAATATTTGTGTTTAAAAATTCAAATACATTAATGAAAATTTTCAATAATTAATCAATACTTCTATTTTTATTTTATGTTTTTCCTTCTAAAAATTGTAACGTTTGATATGTTATAAGTTTATGAAATAAACTCAAAAAAGTAAACTTTTAGTTAGTATTTTTATTAGATCATATAACTTGAAAGGGAAAAAACTAATATATCTTTTCGTTCTATCTGTAAACAAAATATATGCAAATAATAACTTTTAATTAAATTACATAATAATGTTTGGACAGTACGAATCATTTACCATTTTATCAATAATTTTTAATTAAGTTAATTTTTATAAATGATTTTTTAACAAAAAAATATTACTTCTTCCATATGATATAATCTAATATAATTGAATTAATTTAGTTGAACGAACCAAGTGATTTCATTAGATAAAGGGTCGATATGTTTGAACACCCGTAGTTATAAGATATTTTAGTATTTATTATCAAATGATTAAAAGTTTATAGAACGTATAATACTATTTATGATTACCTAGAGTAATAAAAAAATTAAATTAATCTAATTAGTGTCACCTACATTGACTATAATGAATAGGCTGACAGGTTACGTATGGACCCTTCCACTACCAAATCAATGGGTCACCACCCCGAGAAGTGGTCCATTCATAAAATATCATTAACTTCTTTTCATGGTTAACCATAATAAAGCAATTAAATTACTTTTAAAAGTCATTTATTATATGATTTTAATGCACTTTATCCTTTTCGGTGAGTATAAGCAATAATTTTTTTTTGGCAACACCCCAAATGAAAGTTCACTTTTTGTTCCATATATTTCCCCCAAAAAAAAACATATTGGAAGCTCCCTACTTCCCTTAATCCAAATTTACCATTTAGTGGCCTTGGCAAATTTATTTAGGCTTTTATGTATATTTTTTAAATATGGGTATAATTTTCTTACAAAATATATGTTTATAATTTTCTTGGTCATTGATAATATACACACTACACATACCCTATAGAAGTAACTATTTAAACCTAGAACCTCTAGAGAGAATAACATTCTCTTTAACTACTGAAATCGTTTGATATGATAGAGAACTAAATATATCAATATGTATTATCAAATATATACTTATAAGATAAAATATATATCTCTTATTTTATTTCATTTTTAATTTAATTTAATTTAATGTATTAAAAAAAGAAAAACAACTCAATAAATGATTAATGAAGTTGAAAGAGTTTTGAAAATTGAAAAGCAAACGAAATTATAAGATGATTGGGGCCAAACTGATTCCTTTCGGCACGGGGAATAGGGCAACCAATGCACTGTTGTTTCACAAAATCAATCTGGGATGGAATATCCTCCCTTGGTGTTTGTGTGAACAATAAATTCGTCTAGGTTTCGTACACCGAATCCGAATAACTAAAGACAGCCTGATTCAACACGTATTGATCATGGACCTGATTCAAAATTAGCATAGTCATACATCATGGAAACGCCAGGCTGACGTAATTTAAAAAGTCTATGAACTTGAGCCAAGAAATGGTGAGTCTTTTTTCTATTTGAATTAACCATTTATTATATATTCGTTCTACTGATCGACTAGTTTAAACTGAATACAATAAAAATAAAATTAATTCTTTCAATTTAATTTATTTTATTTGTAAATAACAGTGTTTGAAACCTTGACCTTACCCTCTCAACTTCAAAAATCCAGTGTTTTAACAAGTCTCTCTTCCTCTATATATATTCATTCACATCCTTCACCTTTTCTTCACAAAAACTCAAAAAAAGGTAAACTTTAAACCGAAAACAAACCAACCTACCTACAAAAGAATGCCTGATAAAGACAAGTGTGATGTCGGCATAAATGAGCCAAGATTGGTGGCGAGGAAGTTTTTGGCAAGGCCGCAGCACGAAGGAGTTGGAGCTATCGTAAGAAGAAGCATTGGCCGGTAAGTCAATAATTTTTTTCCCCATTCAAATCTATGAATTCGAGTTTTTTAGATTAAAGGGTACATCTTTTTTGCAGTTTCGAGATAAGATTCTTTGACCCTTTCCTTGTTTTGGATGAATTCTCAGATTAGTGTCTGTTTTATGTTAGTTCTTTTTTTTTTTGGTATTTTTTTGTTTTGTCCCTCTTTTCGTATTTTATAAAGATTTTGATTTTGGAACTTGCAGTCACAGCACCTGCTGGATTTCCCGATCATCCACACAGAGGTTTGATTTCAGTTCCTCCCTAACAAGTTTAGATTCTGTTTCTGAAAATGGAAAACTATTTGTATTCTAATACAATACTCTGTTTGTTTTTTATTCTTTTTAACAGGATTTGAGACAGTCACCTATATGCTACAGGTTTGACTTCTTTTATGTATTTGAATATATAAATATTATATCTGTATCTTCTATATATTAATATTAGTGGTATATTTGAATTGATTTTGCATTAGGGGTCAGTTACACATGAAGACTTTGAGGGGCATAAGGGGACCATCGGAGCAGGTGATGTTCAATGGATGACTGCTGGAAGAGGCATTGTCCACTCAGTGATGCCTGCACCACAAGGAACCCAAAGGGGTCTTCAACTTTGGGTCAATCTCTCCTCCAAATATAAAATGTAAGTTCATTAAAAGATGGGAGTTCTAAAATTCAGGACATAAATCAACAAGATCAAGCTCGAATTTAATCGAAAAAGTTTTGTGGTATCAAAATAATGTAGTTCAAACAATCGAACAAAAAAGTAAATACGTCAATGATTTTGTCATGCTAAAGTGGTCTTGTATTCGCCCATTTTTGAAGAAAGAATCTTTAATCATGAAATGGTTTATTGCTTGTCCCACTAGCTACACATTATATCCAAAGCCTTTTTTGTTGTTGTATATTGCCCAAATTTGGGTAGATGTAGGATACGTCATACGAGTGTAAATTTAATATGCATATTTTTTAATCCTCTAAATTATTGTATATGTATGGAATACATGTATAAAGAGTTTAATCTTTATTTTCATGTTATTATTTATAGGATTGAGACAAGGTATCAAGAGATGTCAAGTAAGGATATTGTTGAAATCACAAAAGATGGAATCAAAGTTAGGGTTATAGCCGGTGAAGCCATGGGAGTAAAGTCACCAATTTATACAATAACCCCAACAATGTACTTGGATTTCACTCTGGATCCCGGAAGTCACTTCGACAACCGATACCGAAATCGTGGAACGCCTTTGTTTACGTGTTGGAAGGAGAGGGTATCTTCGGGTGGTCAAAATCATCACCGGTGAATGCTCACCATTTGCTTCTTTTGGGAGTCGGAGATGGCTTGGAGGCATGGAACAAGTCATCTAAATTGTTAAGGTTCATTTTAGTCGGAGGTGAACCATTGGGTGAATCATTGGTGCAATTTGGACCGTTTGTGATGAACACTAAAAAAGAGATCGATCAAACAATCGATGATTTCGAAAATTATTCCAATGGATTTGAGAAAGCAAGGCATTGGAGATCTGAATCAGGTCTTAGTCTAGACTTTTGATTCCTTATTTTGGTTTAAGAATTTGTCGATTTAATTTTATCAATAAAGTATTCAAAATGATAAAACAATATGAGCAATACCTGAAAAAATATTTTGATAGATATAATGTTGATTCTAATTTATCTATTTATTTCCCTAGTAACACCTTAAACCAGCTCTCAAATATTTTATAAATTCAAAAGTGTCATATTGAATCATCGAAGTAACCGAAAAATTACTAGCAATCATTTTTGTCATCCCAAAACATGGGCTAAAAGTTTAGGGATTAATATGAGAAAAATGAGATTAATACAAGAAGATGAAAAACTTTAGGGACTTAATTGGAAATAATTAGAAACTTAGGAGAGTTAATTGAATAAAATTGAAATTTAATAGCTTAGTTATTTATTTATTTATTTTTGAGAAAATTAGGAACAGAATCGAACGAAAAAAACTTGGGAGCTTGTTTCGTGAACCTTAGAAATATACAACGTCATGCCTTGTAACTTGCCCAATAATGCCTTAGCCTGCATTCGTCTAGGTCTGATGCCTAATGATTTGAGGCCTCAAAAACCCTTACATTATCGATTAGTTCGGTTTAATTTTTTCGATCGATAACTTCTGTTAACCATTAACAGAAGTTTGAGTTGACAATTAAAAAAAAAAATTTAAAAACACCCACATAATGACCTAAAACCACTAACCCAAACCATACCTAATTCGATTTGATCTGATTCACTTTGTTCCAACTTGAACCTAAAACCAAAAATACTCAAAACCTAACATGTTTTACCAAACACATTGATTGATGGTTGATTCTGACAGTTGATTTTCACCTACTTACTTTAAAAATTCAATTTATTTTATTTGATTTTAATTTGTATATTTATATTTCAGACTCATATGGTATTATTTGATTTTTTAAAAGATATAAATATATTGTATTTTTTATCAAAATAATTATGTCTCACCTTAAGTGTTATATCAATCTTTTAATTAATCTAAGGTGTTATACCATTTTGTATAAAACTTTCTGAATTTTATGATTATTATTAATTGTTATTCGTGTATTATATGTTCATGGTGTGATATTATCGAGGTAATATATATACTCTATATTTGTGTTGTTTGGTTATATGAATTATGTGTCTAGACTATTGTATTAGTATTGCTATACGCCCATAACCATTTTTTTATTTAAATTAAAAAAACACTTCGAAGTTCAAGATGCAATACCCTAGAAGTATAGTAACAAAATCAGTTGGAACTTTTGATGCCTTTTTGTATTTCTGATAGGCAATGCTCTTCTGCTCCGGGTACGAGGTCCTCCACTACCTCAAAAGTTCAAAAAATGATCCCAACAGAGGGGTGACACTTAAACTAGATATGAAAAAAATGTATAATAATGGAACTTCATTGCTCTGCCATGGGAAAATTGTGCTTTAATGATTCCTTTATTAATCTTACCATGAAGCGCTTCCCCACAGTTCCTTTTTGTGTGAATCAATGGACAGGTCTCGAAGCTTTTTAAGTTGGAGAGAAAGCCATCGGCAAGGAGACTCACTCTCCCCATACTTTTTTTTGTTTTGTGCGTAGGGTCTCTCATCACTTCTCCTCATTGAGCAGCGAAAGGGACTATTAAAGGAGTTTGGGCGAGCATACGAGGCCCACAAGTCGATCAACTTTTCTACGTAACTGATAGCTTATTGTTCATCAAGAGCTCCATAGACAAAGCGAGAAGACTCAAAGATGTCCTCTACTTGTATGAAGTTTCATTAAGACAAGATAAATTATAACAATTCTATTATCTACTTTAGTTCCTATACCCTTGAAGAAGATAGAAAAAATGATCCGAGAAATTTTTGGATTTCAAGAGAAGGAGATTGTAGAATATATTTGGGTCTCCCGCTTGTGGTGGGGCATAATAAAAAGGAAGCTTTCAGTTTTATAAAAGACAAGGTCGTGAATGGAAAAACCGATAGGGAAATAATCAACGTTGTTTGGGCTCTTGTATAAGATTTTATCGAGGTGAACACGAGCTTGATCAAAATTGTCCCCACGCACAGCAATGGTCTAAGACTCGCATGGAAACTTCCTATGGTTAGGTGCATTAAAATTAATGTTGATGGAGCTTTTATCCAAAGTAACAGTGAGACGAACATAGCTTGGTTACCCGTGAACACCGTGGATAGTTTTAGAAGGGCTTGACTGTAAACTTAAGAATCCCTAAGCCCCTGAAACAACGGAAGTAATGGAGTTCGTTCATGAAATTAGAATGATAGTTGAGAATGAGTGGAACCACGTTACTATCAAAGAAGATGCAATTTCTATTGTTAAATGTAAATAAAATATCTTTATTATCAGATTATTGCTCAACGAGACTCGTGATACTCTTTTGTACCACCATAACCTCAAGATTTTTTACATCAATCGAGATGCTATCTTTTTAGTTTTTTGAGCTTTGTCAAGCACCAATGCTCTTTGGTTCTATTTTGATGAACCGGGTTAATCAAACAAGTTGTACTACTTGATGCTTTGGGTATTTAAATGAAAATATTACCAATTCAAAAAAAAAAAAAAAAGTCTTCCGCTTACTCCTCAATCACAATGCCATTCCCTTAGATCTATGTCTCTTCAATTTCCTTGGCTACATTTCAACACATGGAGGATGATTTATATCACCAAAATGGTTAATAGAAGATGAAGTATGAATCTAAAATGCAAATTGAAATGAAAAAAAAAAGTATAAATGTTCAAACATGATGATAGAGAGCTTTTCTTGGAGCTCACAAATGAAAGCAAAAGAAGAATCATACCCTTATAGAGAGAGGAGGAAGAATGGTTGGAACATTAAAATGTTCAACACTTAAGTCCCTAAATCCTAATTAAAACAAAAGTATGCAACCCATTTTTTAAATCCATGAGCAAATTGTGCTCTAGGTCCCCTACTTAACACTAGTTCAAAGTCTCTATTTTATCATCTCTTTGAGGTCTAATTTTGTTTTGAGTAAATTATGGTAATTACAAGATAGTATATGTTCAAAATATTTCAACCATTTGACAATAAATATTCAATCGTCCTACTGCAGTTGTTGGTACTTAAACTCGTGATTTCTAGAAAAAATAATGATTATTTTAATCAGATAAGTTGATTAGTGCCTCTGAGGTCTAATCTTTATTTAATTAAAATCAATCTCAATGCATCGAGTTTAATTAAATTTATGATTCAGATTATCAACTCAAGTTAACACACACAAATATATATATTGAATTTAAATCGTTGTGACTCTTAAACTTTCAACATTTAATATTTGATTACATAAACATTTTAATAATTGATATGTCATCCTCAAGTTATTTTAGATTTCTCATCTTCAATTTTAGGTAAAATATGGAAATATTGCACTTGATAAATAAAATTTGTGAAATAATATTGTTGGCGATTTATTTAGAGATCTATGGTACATTCGACTATGAGTGTAAACGAACTTGACTCAAAAACTCACGTCTTAAACTTTCAAACTCAACTCAAACTTAAAAATTAATATTAAATTCAACAAATCAAAAAGACTTAACTCAAAAAAAATCATAAACTCAAGATTTAACTCAATTCAAGCTTGATTCAAACTCCATTTTAAACTCGATTCAAACTCCATTTTAAACTCAATTCAAACTCAAAGCCTAAAAGGGCATTTGGAAATAATTTTCAACCAGCAATAGACACACCTCGGTTCAAACCTAGCTGCGTTATTGCCCCCAACACAATGCTGCCTTAAACCCGTGTATCCTCTCCTTTTATAATATCCCCCAGCGCAAAACTGTCTTAAACCTACCGATGTGGGATACTGGATTGTTTTCAATTTGGAATTCACAGGTCCTTGTTCCACTCGCTTCAAGTGCTCATCATTTCGAGCTCAATTTAAACTTGGAAACAAATGCTAAATATGCATTAATGGAATTAGTCAAAGAAATAAGCGTCGTTTATGCAATTACCCCTGAAATCAGCACTGCTAGTTTCAAGGCAAATTACAAAGGTTCGGTTCATTCTTCAAGCAAACTTCCTCTTGAACAGTTTAAAGCAATCAACTCAAAGCCAATAATGTTGTGTATTT